TCTGTAGTTGTATTTAGGCACAAAATTGCATTGCAACTTGCACGTTTTGTCCCCATAAGCTCTCAGAGAGATTAGGCATCATTAACCAGCATCAACTCATAGACAAAATCCTGCCACATTTTGAAAATCAAAATGATATATTGAGATTGTGGAAGTTTTAAATCCTAAATTCAACTATAATTTAGAATTACACTCTTCCTTGGATAGTCCCAACATGTAAAGATGAGAGATTTACCAAATACATTAGCAGCTATGTCATGAGATTGCTTCACTACTCTGACTGCAAATTGGCAAAAAATCACCGTGTTAGATTTCAGAATAGTGAAACTCAAATTGAAAAGAGAAGTTTTCTCTTGTGCTTGAGCATGAGATTCAGATTCACTCAAAGGGTGATGCTCCACTAAGCACACAGCAAACACAAACACAAGAAGAAGCAAGAGAAGGACTAGACATAGACATTCAATAAAAAGGAAATATGGAATTTGCTTGTATTAAAGAAAAGCATACTGTGAAATGAACAAGTTCAGCATCCAGAGGCAACTATCATGTATTTGCAGTGATGTGGATATTTTCAGTTATGTAGTAAGAATATATTATCGCCTGGCCAGAATTCACAGCATCAGGCGGCAATCAACTACACAACAGCTAATTCCCAAAGGGACTACCAAAGAAACCACCATGCACGGTATAGAGACCTCAAAGAAAATTACAGAGGAAAAATACTCGAGATGATGATCAGATATCAACAAGGGAACGAGTCAAATCAAGCCAGTAAATAATGTTTTTCTGAAGGAAAGAAATCACTAATTTATTACCAGAACAACAATAAATGGGTGTCACCAGAATGACAGCATAAGCAATTAAAATGTCTGGTAGCCTGATCATAATCCAGTATAAGCATATAACATGCTTGATAACCTAATCTTTATCTTTTATTATCCTTATGTCATATGCCACAGTACGTTTAGGGTGTAGGGTAATTTGTATAGGAATATATAATATAGGGGAAAATGCTTGTAGCGCACAAG